CTTAACAGTTTAAAAAATAACGTTACCAGTATTGTTTTTTTTTTACAAAAAGCTTTAAGTTATCCACATATGATCGGCATTTTCCATTATGTGGATGAACTAATATCCTCCCTAACATCTTTTTTACGATTACAATGGAATAACAGCTATATCATGCAGTCCTCAGAAGATCCATTTTTCCGCTATTTATACTTATTCAGCGGTTACGTTCCAGATTTTAATGTAGTTAGCCGTGATAATATAACAAGCATTTATTCTATACCTTTTAAATACAGAATCTTTACGGAAAAGCGTAACAATTAGACCTGTTGCTAGTGGGTTGCGTTGACTTTCGCATTTGGAAAAGACACGAATCCAACTCTTCATCCTCACCTAATCTATGGAGTGAAGAGAATGGTTAAGTGGTTTTCTTGAAGATCCGAAACCCAACTGAAATTTTGTTACAATTTTTCTGTGTATATATAATGTAACTAGTGAGTTATCTCAAATGACTTAACTCACATTATAGTCCACCAATAGATAGTTAACCGATCAGAAGACGTAGAATATTCAATCCGTCGTGTATAAAGGCGGCCACTACCTGAATGTCCAGTCCAGCTTGTCAGGCGAAGAGAAACAGAAGGACGATTTGCTACCTTTTACCAAAATATCCACTGCTAACCTGAACAACGCTTTCACTGTCTTCGAAATATTCAATTCTGAACCTATGCGAAGACGACCGTCATTATGAATAACAATCGCCCCACTGTTTTTTTTTTCAGAAGAAATCGTGACAATTCCCAGATAATAAAGAAAATGGATTTGTGGAGAGTCATAAAACTAAAACTAATTCGTATGTGCTTTTCTTTTTTCGGTTGTCAACTAGAATTACACTTATTGCTCCTTTCGGTATCGTCTTCTAAGAGAATGTTCTTCAGTTTTATTTCTTCCAGTAGTTTTAATGAAGTATCGTAGATTTTACAACATAATTTTATGCCAAAGCTCACTCAATGCAATGCTCGAGCGCCATTCAAGGTAGAGCGTTACTGTTAAAGCGGTTATGATGAATGATATGTGATTGTTTTAGCACGTCCCAGGTCGTAGGGGTACCACATGCATTGCAGCCGTAGTAGCAGTGGTGTGTCTTGGGCAGGATAGCCTGACAGGACCCAACTCGTTTCCTTTTCCGCATTTTTGCCAACCAAAGGCTAAATTTTGTCTGCCCTGTTATTTATGAGTAGCTACGTAAAAGAATAGAATGAAATTGGAACTCGTCTTAACCAATTTTTCAGTTCTGCACACCTACAATGAACATTATAAAGGTTATAAAGGACGATGGAAGAAGTTAAAATTGTAGCGATCAGGGAAGCATCTACGCAGGAGTCCATTCAACAAAGTAGCAGTGGCTAAAAAAAAGTCTGTTAGAGTGAAACTTTCTCTTTACATTTGGAATTACAGAGGAAATGCGTGTAATTCGATTCCGTGATAATAGGATGCCATATTATAATTTTAAAGGACTGAAATGCAAATAAAGAATGAATCAACTGAACATTTGCCATGGAAATAGCGATGGTGTAACGATAGGCTTACGTCATTGCGTCTGGCGAAAAAAGGTTGAATTTAAAACAGAAATAAATGATTTTTAGTTCTAAGGGGAAAGTAAGATTGAGCAGAGCCAGCCAAGATTTGATTTCCAGTTTTGGGACTTTGAAATATTATAAATTTCTTATTATTAGAAAAGCTGATTTGTTTAAATCAAGGGCAATAACTCAAAAAACTTCCCGTGTCCGCTAGTCGGCGCGGTCAAGAAATATTGTGACAAGTTGAACGCACGTGGAATTCAGGGTTTCTCAAATCCCTCTGAGTAAATGGACAGTTTATTCATTTTGGTTCATCTCAAATAACTTGGGACGCAACAATTATTTTTAAAATTTTAATATCAATTTATTTTTTTCAAATCAGCGAATAACGAACTTTTCAAATCCACCATTTTGGTCTTGTCATAAATGGATTTATATGTGCGTGCTTTTGACACGGATGCATTATGTATTTGGTCGCCATTAATGGTAGTCGAATAGAATTTTGAGATATAAGAGAAAAATAACCTTAGTTAGATATATTATATATATATATATATATATATATATATATATATATAATAAGGATGACATTAAGGGATAAAAGAATGGATATTAAACAATTTCGAGTCCATTTCTCAGTTACCACAAGAATGGAATAATATATATGCAGTTGCGAAAACAGATAGTCCTTTAGAAAATGCACGTGTTGATGGCGCGAATGAAACTTTCCCCACCTCGTGGGAGTGTGGTTTGTGAAGATCCGCTGAAATTTTGCACATGCAAACGTTCGAAATCGCACAAAAAAGATTTTTAACAAAAGTGAATAAATTCGCTTCACACAGGAGTACACAAGAAAAATAATACCCAGATAATTTGACATTACTTACTATACAGCGAATGTGATGCGGTCAAGTAAAATCCATCAGTTCTCCTAAATATAATTGTTTTAGCATATATTTTGAATCCAGAATATATTCCGCATTTTTCGATTTTGTCATGGGCTGGCAGATAGATAATATATATATATATATATATTTATGCAAAATACTCCTATATCAAAAACAGTAGTGATTGGAACAAAGGCCACATTAAATGAAGGGTTAAAATTTCAGATAGAATATATCTGGAAAGGACAATATATATAAAAAGTAAATAAAAAGTATTAATTAACGAACGCGTTTCTTCCTCTGAGGGATTTATTTAAGGATTTTATTTTGTATCAAGTATTTATATACAAGAGCAAAAATGTTATAGATTTTTCAATATTTTTAAATTTAAGCGCGCTAAAATATTCCAGATTTATTATAAACAGTCCAATTGGCATTGGAGACAAGAGATTTTGAAATGAAAGATTTTTAAAATGAAAAGTAAAAGATTTTATATATGTATGTGTCTGTATATATATATATATATATATATATATATATATATATATATATATATATATATATATATATATTGTATGTATATTTAAGAAGCATTTTTTCATTAATGCATGTTTATTAAATAATATAGACAAGTTTTGTCTATTTATTTTAAGTAGGTTCCTTACATACTGTCTGATAAAATCCCATTATCGTTGAAAGACGAAAGGAAAACACTATATTGATACATGTTTCAACGATAATGTGATTAACCTTATCAGACAATATGAAATAAACTTACTTAAAATAGACAAAACTTGTCTATATTATTTAATGAAACATGCATTATATATATATATATATATGTGTGTGTGTGTGTGTGTGTAGATAGATAGATAGATAGATAGATAGATAGATAGATAGATAGATAGATAGATAGATAGATAGGTGCATAAAGATAAAAGAAAAACTCAACTTAACCGAATTGTTTCGTCCTCTGAAAAACTTTATCAATAAGAATGTAATCTTGCAAAAAGTATTTATGAATGTATGTGAAAATGTCGTTAGTTTTTAAGATTTTTTTTTTAAATTTAGGGAAGCTGATAAATATACTTCAGGCTAACTAAAAGCTGAGGTAAATTATGGAGCATGCTAAGAGATGTAAGTTAATGTTCCAAAAATGAAAGTGAGTAAATGTTTTTGAATTTTTTGTAGAATGTAATTATTATTTATATTATTTTAATCTTAAGATTATTGCATATCATAAATAATAGGTAGTTTCGAATTTAAACACCTTATTTTAACTTTTAAAATTTTCATATGCATATGTGTTGGCTTGAGATAGTGGTATTTCTTTTAGGAAAGGAGATATTTGAAAAAAAATCCCGAGCGGAGATGTATATTTTGATAATATTCGATAGCGGCAATCTGGAAAACTTTCCCTCAAAGTTACTTTCTCTTCTGAGAAGTGTGGCATTCTTCGGATCTAATGTATGGTTAAACGTATTTCTATGTATGATGAATGCATTTGATAAATTGGTGTGTATAAGATCGTTTTAATATATAAATACACATACACACACATATATATATATGTGAGTGTGTGTGGTAAAATATAGTTTGAAGCTATGCTATATTTATGGGGCAAGTGCTCAATATCAGAGATAAAGTGTGTGTAAATATACAAGATGAAACTGATGTCAATATTAGCGGCATGACTAGTTCAGGCTTAATGATCAAACATAATATATTCCTAACTATTACCTGTTTGTTAGGGCGTCTGATGACAGTGAAGTTAATCACAATGAACTCAACGCCGACAGATAGTAATTTTCTGCTATTCAGTAAACCTAGACAGAAAGACAGGAAAAGACGAAGATAGATAGATAGATAGATAGATAGATAGATAGATAGATAGATAGATAGATATGAAAATTGTGAAATAGATAAATACAGCGAGAGATAATTTGTCACCATTTTATATTTTTAATTTCGCGCATGCGCGGCATTTGTTTTTGATTTTGTTGACTGCACAGTATATTAGTGTCTTTTGGGCACCGTCTGTGAGAAAAAAAAGAACTCACTCCTTAAGAAATTTGGAAACGGATTTTCAGCGTGTTTGTGTGTCAATCTGAGGACAGTGCAGGGAATTTCAAAAGAGTTGGATGAGTCTAATGTTGATTACGAAGGTGTTTGAAGTTATGGCGACGTTATGTCTCCATTTATCTTACCACGGGGCTTCAGACTCAACACCCAGGCCTACATCAAGTGCATTGAGAAATTAGTGCGGCCATACTTGAGGAGGGTGACTGCTGGAAGGTCCTATGTCTGGCACCAGGACTCTGCACCATACCACAAAAGCAGGAAAACCTAGTCATGCCTGTCAGACAATTTCTGCGACCACATCACCCCTTAAATCTGCCTATATATCTCCGTAGGCTGCAACACCCTTGATTATTAAGAGTTGCATGAAATTTCGAAGTCGTCTGGTGGTCGTAGTTAAAGAAATTGCAATTTTATTGAATAGATTTACACTTTAGTACTTCAAGATATTCGTGTATTTTGGTAAATATATCTGTTAAAATGAGGTGTCAGTGTTATTTTCATTTTTGCGTGATTTGGACGACAATGTATCCATCGCATCCTGTAAATAGATAGATAGATAGATAGATAGATAGATAGATAGATAGATAAACAAGTGCATACGAATAGACGGAGAAAAATATACATATAGGTAGATAAGAAAAGACGTAGATAGATAGATACGAAAAAACGGAGAAAAATACTTATAGGTAGACAAGAAAAGACGTAGATAGATAGATAGATAGATAGATAGATAGATAGATAGATAGATAGATAGATAGATAGATAGATAGATAGATAAACAAGTGCATACGAATAGACGGAGAAAAATATACATATAGGTAGATAAGAAAAGACGTAGATAGATAGATAGATAGATAGATAGATAGATAGATAGAGAGGAAAAAACAGAGAAAGATATATAAGGTAGACAAAAGACATAGATATAGATAGATAGATAGATAGATAGATAGATAGATAGATAGATAGATAGATAAGCGTGTGAATATTTCGGAGGTGCACTTGATGCAGATTCTGAAAAAATTTCGATATAAACTATAAGTAGACTGCTATCCTTGCTGGCTGCTGCTGCCAGTATCGTGTGATTGAACGCCATTGAACCTTCCTCTTGCCAGATTAAACTAATACTCCTTGCTCGTAAAATGAAAGTGTGAGATAGAAGGAGAATTCAAGAGAAAGTTTGTTAGCGAGACAACCACGTTAGCCTAGGGCGGATATTTCAAATAAAAAGGCTTAAAATATATAATCTGATCTTACATCCGTGACATCGCGTCAGTATAAGCAATCTCGTTGCAAATGAATTCAATATAAAACAATATACAGAGTTAAATAAGTCATTGTTATTTAACAACCTTCCTCGTTAACCAGAATTTGTAATCGTGATATTTTTCGGATGCTAAATCTAGCAATATGCAACGTTAAGTTAACCACTGCTGCGTAACGCGACGTGAAGGTATCAGATTGTCCAGTAGTTTGCTCGATGTGGCTTACTTGAGTTAACATTTCTCAACGATCGTTCTAGTACACAAAGTAATAAAAGACAGTGATGGCGACCAGAAGAAAAATAATGATCAATAAAGTTAAAATTAAAATGTATCAATTGCTTCTTAATGAACGACTTAACTCTACACTGCACTATTTCTTAGGCAATGAGACTGAAAAATTCGATTCCTATTTAATAGTGGGTCGTAAATCTACTGCTTGTGTTCCTTGTAAAATCAAGTATAGACACTGATATTTCACTGTCTAACGACGATATGCTGCCTGCATTTGATTATTTCTGTTTAGAAAAGAAAATATTTCCTACAGGGATAACATTCGTGAGATAAAAAACAATAAAAATAATAATATTGATAATAAAACTAATAATATTTGTTGTATATTATTAGGCATTATCACCAAATAGAGACATAATATTTTAAAAGACGGATTTTTTTTTTTTTTTTTGGTTACGGTTGTAGTTTAACCAAGAGAGGGAGGGACTCCGCCAGGTTAAAACGCCCTAGAGACGCCACATGATGGGCACGCAAAGAAACCATTTGCTGAGACCCAAACTCTGACACACAACCGCGACAGATGGAGGAGAATGATGAACAGCTCAGTACGTCGGTGTGTTGACGACTCTTTCCGGGTTTAAATGCGAAAGCAGAAGTAAAAGATATTACCGATGAGATCTAATAATTTTGAATTAATTTTTTGCTACATTTAGGGTTGTAGAGAGCTTGTAGATGTCTTTTTGTTAAAACTCTTTATACAGAGTATACCGAAATGTCTATTTAAACTCAGTCTGACTGCGTTCTTCTTGGTGTTTAAATGAAGACGCTAAAAATCACATCTGACATTATCAATACTATGATCCGGTTGGTTTAAATGCGCAGCAAAAGTGAAATTGATGTTTTTGTATTTTTTTCTCTTTTATAGTTATTAAAATGAAGACGGGATTCCGTACCTGTTTCATCGACATGTTTGCCTGTTTTGCATTTGTTGCAATAGAAGTAAATATATTATATTTGAACAGTCAAAAGTCAAAGTATGAGGTCGGATTACAGTGTGCGTGCCAGGAGGCGTAAAAATACTATCGGTGACACATGTTTACGATATGTTTATACACACATACACACTGACACACGCACACACACCTATGTGTGTGTGTGTGTGTGTGTGTGTGTGTGTGCAAATATATTGATATGATAGTTAAGAAACGTTAGATTGATGATCCGAAGTTCTTTTGTATTTTTTTATTTTAGAAAACAGTGCACGATACACAAGTAGAGCCTAGATTATAATTGTTTTATTTTTTTTAAATGATTCCATCGTGAGACAGAAATTACTGTTTCGAAACTGTTCAGCAGTATTTAAGTTTCATTCCAATATTAAACCTTAACCTCTTGGGCGGTAGTTTCATCCTTGGATTCCAAAACAATGCTTGAGGAGGAAACTGCCACCAAGAGGTTATGGTTTAATATTGGAATTAAACTTAAATACTGCTAACCAGTTTCGAAACAGTAATTTCTGTGTCGCGATGGAATCAGATTTAAAAAAAAAAGAATAATTATAATATATGAAGAGGGGAGGGAGTTGATAAAGATTTACTTATAAGTCCTAGTAATTAACCCGTTGTAGGTGAAGAACAGATGGATACACAACGCTCTCAAGGGTATTTGCGCGTAAGTGAATATAATGAACCCTATTAGAATTTGGACACAGCTCTGCGATTTCCAATTCCGAACCATTATCCATCAACCCTGAGAAAAGGGAACTTTTTAACGCATTATATACGACGTGATATATAAACGCCATACCGGCTGCCAACATAGCGTTCAATTCTTACAAAGAGCGATGCATTAAAGCGGCAGCAGCCGCTATAAATTCTCTTTTTAAAAGATAAATAAATATATATATATATATATATATATATATATATATATATCGAATACTAAATAAAATTAAAAAAAATAATAATGGTAATGATGATGATGATAATGATTTTAATTCTGTATCGGAAACTATACCTTTTCAACTTCAAATGATAATAATCAACTTCAAAATGGACTTATTTTCAGGTAAAAACAACTTCAAAATGAAAATAATCAACTTCAAATTGGATTAATCAACTTCAAATTGAGAATTAATATAATATTAATAAATTTAATATTTAATTCTTTTATTTTTATTTTAAAAGGGATATAAAAAAAATATAAACGTTCTAAGAAATTTATTTAAAAGATTACATCATCTAAGTTAATTACAGAGGAAGTAATCTCTTTATTCCAGATACGAAGTTAGTGCAAGTTTCAGGGAAATATTATTAATTGCCTCGGAGATCATCGCTTTTAACTTGCTGATCCGGAATTCTTTAGTAGTTAAACATCCCTGGCCATCACCTCTTAAAATCCCAACAATTGAGTCTGCCATACTTCTTTTTACGTCAGCTTTAATGACTGACCAAACCTTTTTAATGGGATTTAACATCGGACTATAGGGGGCAAGTCTGAAAATTTGGTGTTGCTTAAATTCATCCTCCTCCACAACTTCTTCAATTGAAGTATGGCAAGGAACGTTATCAATAACTAAGACAACTCCCCTTTGATAAATTTCATTTGCCTTTCTAAGGCACTCCCTGGTCCATTCTATCGCATCCTCTTTTTTGAAAGAACCTCTTTTAATTTTATGATGAATTAATCCATTATTACTAATACATCCAATAACATGGATGTTATTTCCCCTGTAACCGGCCACGACTGTAGTGCACCTCGTGCCATTTTTAGAGTGACCTTCTCTTCTTGAAATATGGAGATTAAAATTGGTTTCATCCATATAAAGAATTGGCACACTTTGGGACTGAAATTCTAATAAATCTACTGGGTAATCCTTACGTTTCGCCTTATTGACATTATTATTGGCAGCTTCTGGTTCATAATGAACCGCTTTTAAAGTAAAGGCCATGGAGTCCAAGTGCTTTCTTATGCATTCTTTCGTCACACGAACCTCATACTTTTGCTCTTGCGTAATTTTATATTTTCTTGCTCCTCCCCTAGAGTCATCCTTATCAACACCCTGGTCTAACCAACGGTATGCTGTTGGCAGAGGCACACCAATTGTTCTTGCCAGGTCCAATTTCCTGCTGCGGCATATGCAGCTAAAATCTAGGCCTTTTTTTCGCCAACCACAGTTTTCTTGAGGTAAGTCTTCCTCGGAGCTGTTGCTAATTCTTCTTCAGCTTCTTTTGTAGAGGTTTCTCCAGCAACATCATCAATCATCATTTTTGCCCATACGGGACTTTCTCCTCCTACTTTTACTGTAGGCTCACCCAATGCTTTCTTGGCCTCTAAGTTGTTTGTATTTTGGTTTTTTCTTCATCTATATAATGAAGATGAACAATTTCCTTCTTCATGGGGTAAATTAATTGAAAAAATAATTTTCAATTTAACAAACAATATCTCAATTTCAAGTTGTTTATTCCAATTTGAAGTTGTTTATTCTTATTTTGAAGTTGATTGTTTTTAGGTTTTTGACATTCTCTCAATTTGAAGTTGATTAATCCATTTTGAAGTTGATTGTTCCATTTTGAAGTTGATTGATCCAATTTGAAGTTGATTAATCCATTTTGGAGTTGATTAATTTTTTACTTGAAACTAAGTTCATTTTGAAATTGAAAAGGTATACATTATGCAGCATATGATTTTGCAGAAGTCACAAGATGGATATAAAAGTCAACAAATCAGAAAAAGTGGTTACGAGGGAATTCTTTTATTATTAGTGTTAAATTAACCGTTTGAAAATAAAAAAAAAACTGAAAATAATAATAATAATAATAATAATAAATTCCCTGGTACTAGACCAGACATGGCTCTCACTGCTTTATTCAATTGCAGATGTTAACTTGTACATCTTTTGTTTTGGACAATTAAGATGTGGCACAGGAAATATTCCGTTCATTTCCACAGAACTGCGTGTCAGATTCCTGACATTGAATATTATAGTTGGTCATATCCTCTAGAAACTAACACATTGTACATCTCTGTTCATGAGCGGGAGCAGCGAGGAAAAATCTTGGTCGAGAGTGTTGATAGACTTTTTAATTTGAAACATGAGACAGCTATGTCGAATTGGGAGTTATTTCTGTATACTTTGGGATATCATAACTGGGCCCCAACTTCAAAGTTATCCGGTATTTTTATCAAATCCTGTCCCCATGTCACGTACATTTGTCTATGTGGCGTGTGCCTGGCATATCTGAATGGATGGCATGATAGATATATTGAGTATCGTATATTTGTACCTCAGCGACACTTTGGCTTACTTTTTGTTGTAACACAATAATAATAACAATAATAATAATAATAATAATAATAATAATAATAATAATAAACTTGCCGATACTGGCTCTGCTTTGAAAACAGAAACATTACAAAAGGCATACTTGCTCGCAACAGAAAAGAGACTTCCATAAGTACAGAATACAACATATCAGTGAAAAGGAGAAAGGAACGTTTTATTTCCTTAAGTCACAAAAGGTGACTTGAAAATAATTTTTTGTGCTGTGCGGTAGAAGCAAAATAATAATAATAATAAAAATAATAATAATAATAATAATAATAATAATAATAATAATAATAATGTCTTATTCCTGCCGCATAGGACCAATGCTTGCTGTATGGAAATTACGAACCAAATAAACTGAGAAGTGCAGTTTCTGTGATAAATATCCAGAAACACGTTGCACGGCATGAGCATCCATCGAATATAAAACTCAGCATGAGAGGGACGGCCAATATCTGCACTTGAAAATCTGCAACTTTTATGGGAAGTAGCCTATGATAAATGTGTATGAATACCATCCAGAGTCGGTTACAAACATACAAAATGTAACAATTTTATAAGATTTTTGCAATCCTTACAAAACAATCAATGCTAATCACCCAGACACAGTGAACAATGATCACAAAAACAGAATGTGTTTTCTTATTAACACGTCTATTTCCCGCAGAATCTGACATATATTTGAAGATCTTTCAAAAAGATCGATCAAAATACAAGGATCTTGAAGTAGAAAACTCAAATATCTCAACACGCAAGAGGGTGGAAAAATTAGGAACAGAAACATTAATAATAAGTGTGAAGAGGAAAGAGTAATCAGGAGGACAGTAGATAGCGACTGACATTGCATTTAATTTTTTGCAGATTAAAATTGGCTGAAAAGCATGGAGTTGGAAGTGAGTTCCACAAGCAAGAAGTGCGCGAAAAACTGTTAACATAGAATTTTAAGTTACATCTAGCCATCTCTACTATAAACGGATTAGATTTACATGCCAGATTTACTGTGCTTAAAGTTTTAAAAAAAAGTCTAGCTACAATAGTGAAGAGCTCATTCGAACAATTACCATGTATTTTTTAGAAAAAACAGAGAGGTAAACTTACGGCGGTGGACAAGTGACTGAAGCCGAGCGGCCAGAGCAGGACCGATAATATTGTTGATTCTTCTTTGGATATTATCAAGGATCTCAAGGTAAATAGCAGGGACACTGAACCATATGTGGCAGCAATATTCTATATATGGACGAATGATAGATTTATAGAAATGTAAAACGGACTTTGGAGATAAAGATTGTCTCGCACGACACAATGAACCAACTTTCTTTGCAGCTGACCTAGCAATGGATTCCACGGAGTCTTTCCACTTCATGTCAGCTGAGAACGTTAGACCGAGTAGGCGCAGCGAGTCACTTGAAGCCCTAAAATTGTGTTAAAATTATTTGAATTTCGGCATTAAATAACCCATTAATGGTTGATATACCACTAAACAAATTCAAGCAACCAACTCTTTATGTGCCCTCTGTGCAACCATACCGATCATTTAATATAATGCTGCTGTTGTTTTTGTTTTTCTTGAGAGATATTGAGTTTTTTCTTTTATTTTGTTTTCATAATTGCTGGTTTACTTATCTAATACTTGTGTTCACTTGTCTTTTTGTATTTTGATCCATTTTCTGGTTGGCTCAATTTACCCCCACACCAAAAAAAACATTTTACAATTGAATCGACACAATAACATTTCTGTTTATAGAAAGAGAAAATCGATAGCCTTTCTATAGCATGAACGTTGATTTACTGCTTCTCTTATCGATATTTCTTCTCTTATTCTGTTTCCGAATAAGACTTTGTATATCACACATGATTGTCTCCCTTTTATTAGATTTTTGAGGCCCGGTGTTGTTGGCAATAATTAAATTAGATGATTTAAACTTTTTATAGTAGATGATAAATCTAAGGTGTTTATTGGGATTGCTGAGTGATATATGTAACGTGATAATTTTTTTTTTAATTTTTCTAAATTTCGTTAAGATTAATTTCATTTGTTTGTCGACGACGTGGTTATGGAATTTATTGTTAATTAGGCTTTGTTTAATGTTGCTATGTTTCTTAAAGGATAATATCACAGAAGAAGATATTACTTTGATCCTGTAAAAATATTCCCCCTATGTAAACATAAGGCTGTCTATGTATCCTCATACCCACTGGAACAATGCTTTACCAAAACTAATAATCAAAAAACAGTATAAAATATTTAAATTGGGCACACATGCATCCCACTAACGCAATGACTTGTCACCTGTCGAAACGCAGTGCAATCTGTGCACATATTGACCATTACATCATGAACGACCAAATAATAAACATCAACATAAGACAGATATAAGTGGATAACACCAAAATACTCTCTAGCACCCAATGCAAGGAAAGACTGAAAATCATAGAAGCTATTATTATACAAACATCGTTCATCACAAAAGATGGAGCTTTGAAACGTATATGATCTAATTAATGTGAACATAGATTATATTAGTATTAAAAATTAAAATAAATAAAATCTAATAAATAAATTGCATTCTTTCTATTCGACCTTGTTCCAAATAACCTTTACACATGATGTCACACGAGACCATGTCAAACCCCCAGCGCCCCAAAGAATACCAGAATGCAGACAAATAAATTCTAACTTTCGCAAAGATGTCACATTGGTTCTTGAGAGTGACTGCCAGAGATGAAAGTACTTGAACAAAAAAATAACAAATTATGAACTTCGGACTGTTTATCCAAAACTTCGAGCACAAGAATCAACACCTTATCCGAAAATTGAAAGAATATTTTTAAAAATGAAAACAGTCGGTTCCTTCCTTCATGAATAATTGTTTCCACTCTCTCTCTCTCTCTCTCTCTCTCTCTCTATATATATATATATATATATATATATATATATATATATATATATATATGTAAGAGATTTTAGGTGGGAAAATTACGGGTTCTTTTTCCGTAATTTCCTGGTGGAAAGGCACTTTAGGCAGGCAGGTTTATTGCCATAAAATGCTCGATATCAAAAGGTAAGAATACGTCACTCAAATGGGGGGGGGGAATTTTAGTCATGCCGATTTCGAAGTTTAATGAGTGCATTGTAGTAATGCTTTCACTCTTCAAGACTGTTGGTGTCTCTGCTGCTACTTCTCAATTTCTTCATATTTATGTATAGTTTGGTGTAATCTGATATCTTTATGTGGGTGTTTTTTTTTTTCACTTAATGGGTGCTGTGTTTTCTGTTGTGTTGTGTTATCTGCTGTTTCTTAAGTGGTGTAGAGTTTTTTGATGATTGTTTGCTTTGTATTTACTGACCCCCCCACCCCCACCTTTTGATCGTACTAGCTTAATAAGATGCTTTGTATTTGTATGTATTTTGGTAGCTAAAATGCTTTCCGTGTATTAGTAAATATTACATCAGTCGTACTGTATTATGCAGTGTTTGATTTAAACCTGCCGAACGCAAAAATAAGAAACAAACCAATGCAAAGGAAAGGTAAAGAAACAATAAATATTCCAAAAAAATAGAATAATGCCTAAACAAATATAAGAAGATTTCAAAATCAATTACAGGCCGATTTTCGATCAGATCGATCTACGACCTCTCGGTCAAAAACAATCATAGTTGTAAGTCGAAGATGACTTATATATATATATATATATATATATATATATATATATATATATATATGAAGAAATATAGTTTTAAAGTGTGCTATATTTATGGGATAAAGTCCTCAATAACAGAGATAGAGCGTACGTAAATATATATATAAAAGTGAACATTGAAGTCAACAGTCAGAGGCGACAGGCTGTTTCATGCTAGAGGCAATCGTCAGGCCGCGAATTCTGGATATTTACTCGGCTATTTATACATATGGGTCAGTGATGCATTGTGGGTAATCTATTTTGGCGGTTATAAATAATACAAAATGAAAATGAAAAACAAGTAAAATAAATTAACCCAAACAAATAAATAAATAAGCAAACAAACCACTCCTGCTAAATAACCGCCAGAAGAGAGAGGGGGATAGATAGATAGATAGATAGATAGATAGATAGATAGATAGATAGATAAGCTTATTAGTAGCTAAATAATACATTTTACTTGAACGCATAACACATCAAGCTTCTTTGCGAAGCTGGGACACTATGAGTAAACCCAGGCCATTAAAACAACAACCTGCTGCCGATAAACGACATATATAATAACCTTTGGCATCTAAGCATGCATGTATAAATAAAAAAAAAATAAAACCATATATATATATATATATATATATATATATATATATATATATATATATATACGTATTATAATTTGGGCACGATTTACTCATTTATTCAGATACTGCTATTTGCAAAACAAACAAAGACAACATTCAGCTTCCTAATAAATCTCTAGAGTATAAAGGTTTTATGGGTGCAACATTAACCACCGCTATGAAGAGACCAAAAGAATAAAAAATAAAATAAATAAACTGCATAATATCCAATGCGCGATGCAATGGATTTACACTATGCTCCTTTTAGTTTTATTCTTATTTTGTTTTTCCTTTTAAATTCTCAACGAAAATGCTATCTCCAACATTAACATCGCTTTGTATTACCCACCTACGTGTATATGCCTACTTCCTTTGCAAGTCTAGCTTTCTAGGTCATAAAACAAGCACATGCGCAATAAACACTGAATCAATTTCAAAACGCTGGTTTGGAAGCTTAATTTTTATTGTATACTTTATCCGCTGACTGTTTGCTACGTATGAAGAATGTCATTCGTTGTCTTGATAGTCAGAAGGATACAATCTCTGAAGACTTAATGACAACCTAGAATCATACATAAACACACAAAGTCTTTTTCTTTGTATAACGTCTTTCTTCTATCAACTCACAGTTGATATCTCCAATAAATCAAGGCGATGGAAAATATTTACTCTTCAGAAACCTACATTGATCTTTGTTGAAAATGTCAAAAGGAAAAAAAAAACAAATGGGCTTTGAAAAGAAAAGTCTGGAATTTTACGAGCATGAACTCATATCTGAAGTGCTTCGGCCATAACTCATTTTCCTTCGTTCGCATATAAATGCAGACTTTGCCTCTAAATTAACGTTAGTACTTGTACAAGTTTTCTATCTATTTGTGGCGATAGATGTATTGAGTAAACTTCCAAAATCTTTACATTTTTTGAGTCAGAAAGAAGTAGTATCTTTTTTTTAGATTTGCGATTAATATATTTTATGTAATTTTTCAACGGCAACGTTTAATGTAGTATTCTTTATTGTCTTCTATTAAAATTTGAAAACAAACTTCATATTCGGATTTTTATAACATTTTAGGCGAGTGTTACCTCCTAAGTTGAATAGATTGGCAATTACAGATTTGAAACTTATTTTTATAAAACAACAAAATCGAAGATTTTAAAAGCATTGAAAAAATATATATACGGGGCAAACGATAGCTTGTTCATTTTAACGCCTCCAAAATTCAATTTCTCTCCATTAATCCTCTGAGAGTTCCCCCTCCAGGAAAATGACACGATCCGCCTTCTCGGGCTAACATTTTCAGCCGACAATAAATAAAAAGACTATATTGAATTTGTTGTGGATTCCGGGAATGGAATCCTGCACCAATAAATAAACAACGCCAGTAATTGAGATAGAAAAATAAGTGTATTAAACGTAAGAATACAGACTTGAAGTGAAGATTAGTAGTCCAGGAATGCGGGTTAGTAGGAAGTATATGTACAAGTCTCTGTAAGTAAAGCCGTAATCATCTCTCTCTCTCCCTGGACTCTTGTATAACTCTCTGAGAACACCCTGTGTCTGTCTCCGTATCTCTCAACCTGTCGCAACGTATCTCAACATATCCCAACATATCCCAACGGCAGGTATTCCCTCTGTCAGTACAGAGTCCATCTTATGTAAAAAGAGGAGAGCCCCACAACAGAATCCGTTGTTAAGTCAGCTGCTAAGAAAGTTGGTTTACTCCAATATCCACCTTACATATCTCTAAGTCTACCATTCGTTCATGCTTACAATATTGCTGCCACATATGGTCCGGTTCCCCTGCTATTTACCTTGAGAAATCTAGAAAGAATCAACAATATTATTGGTCCTCATCTGGCATCTCGGCTTTAGCCACTTTCCCACCACCATAAGTTTTCTTCTCTGTGTCTTTTCTATAAATACATTGATGGTTATTTTTTCCCCGATGAGCTCATCGCTATTGTACCCAGACGTTTTGAATTTAAGAGCGGTACAAGACTGGCATCGAGATCTCATCAATTTATAGTTGAGCTGACTAGATGTAACTGTAAATTCTATGTTAACAGTTTTTTTCGCGCACTTCTTGCTTGTGGAATTCACTTCCAACTACATGCTTTTCAGCCAATTTTAATCTGCAAAAAATTAAATACAATGTCAGTCGCTATCTACTGTCCTCCTGATGACTCTTTCCTCTTCACGCTCATTATTAATGTTTCTGTTCCTAATTTTTCCACCTTCATGCGTGTTGAGATATTTTGGTTTTCTACTTCAAGAACCGTAAATTCTATGCTAACAATTATTTTTCTCGCATTCCTCACTTGTGGAACTTCCTTCCAACTCCATACTTTTCAGCCAATTTTCATCTACAATAATTTAAATGAAATGTCAATCGCTATATACTGTCCACCTGATTACTCTTTTCTCTTCACGCTCATTACTAATGTTCCTTAATTCTTCCACGCCCTTTAACCCCTTGTGTCTTAGTGGCTTTACTGCCATGAATGGGATGATACCGATTCATATAATGAACGAATCCTGTAATAGTTTTTAGAAATAGCTCTCTTTCCTTCGAAGCCATTGTTTCAAAAAGAAAACTACAATTCATTTTTTGAGAATTTTTTCTGATAAATATTATGTTTTGATCTTGAAATATCGGATGTTGTGTTCTGCGGCCTTCTTTATTGTTTAAAATTCTGAGATGTAATATCCCCATTATTCCGTTAATTTTTTTTTTATTTTGATAATTTTTTAGTCGATCTGCGCTTGAGCCGTCATCACGATTATACTGTATTCACTAAAGTTTTAAGGAATTTTGAATGATTACTTGACTTGGCATCACTACGTTTTAAAGAATTCACAAATCTGAACTATTAAAATTTGCTGTTTATTACTTAATATTATTGTTGATTTTATTCGTAGCAAGACGTTTGGTCGCTCAGATCTGTAACGTTAATTACTGTGTGATAAGGACAATAAATAAATCTTTGAGAAAGATCATTAAGTAAAAAGCAGCTTAAAGTACGTTGGTGGAAAACATTTAAGTATGACAGACCGGAGAGTGAATTCGCCAGTGACTACCATCGAAAGAAACAAGTTAATGAAAATGTATGACGTCATATCATAAAGAGATATAGGTTTCAACCACTTAAAATAATGGAATTTAATTATACCGACTTCTTAAAGAAGTCTAGTTCGACATATTTTCAGGAAAAGCCAATATTTTATGTATGTCGCCGGTAAATATGATGTAGACAGTACATGGTAAATAATGCCATATCATTTTATAATAATTGCGCTCATAAAGATGCATCGTGCATATACTTAAAGAAATGGCGTTAATACATTTGCAATTTCGGATTCCTCTTACTCTTTGCTGCCTAGCAGGTGAGATCTTTAATTTTTGTGGAAATTTTGCGATCCTGAAGAGCTTTTTAACCGAAACCATTTTTAAATTCCGCACCTTTTGACCTGACACCACCTTTTATTAAGACCAACTGAGAATATTGAGAAATACTGTGCACCCACTTATTAAGACTCTTCTTGTATTAAGCAACTGAGAATCGTGTTTCAAAAAAACATTGCAATAAAGATGACTATAAATAAGGTCCCAAGACCAAATCTGCCTTAGTAATAGAATATTCTTAATAAAGAATTTTAGAAAACAAGGGCAGCAAGCACACGCTGGGATAAAAACAATGCATATTAGGATGCTATTCTAAATAAATCATGAAATAAAAATAAGTATTTCACTTCTAGTAATCATACAGCTTTATCCATAATTCATCTCACGAAAACTTATTTACGGTCGGGTAGAAACGCTTCATGGTTGAGTTGAAATATACAGTCTGTTGAATAATGCTTCGCATGAACGATATTTGTAAAAGAAATCTGAATATTTTTTTCACTTACTTGTGGTATAGAATATGCGAATAAATTAATAACTTTATGGTATATCGACTCTTATATAACGGTCATGATTCTAATAACGCATTTTTAATATATATATATATATATATATATATATATATATATATATATATATATATATATATATATATATATATATACGTGAGTCTTTCATGATATTTTGAATGTTAACCCTACGCAGATGACATGGGTTAATATTTCGTATATATATATATATTGAGTTTTTACATAATATTTTGAATGTTAACCCTACGAAGATGACATGGGTTAATATTTCGTCGGAAAAGTATCAAAAGAGCCATGAAGATTATTACTATTTAGTCGAACCCATGTTTACGGACATAATAACTATAACGTTTGGACAGTTATTTGATGTTATCCAACATATTAAAGTGTGTTAAAAGTATTTCCTTTACTGTTAATCATGTAAAATACTTCGAAAGCTCTTGTATATATCTTAAATGTATGAAATATTCTGCATATAGTATCTTTCCAGCGCCTACTGCCTGATAAATCTATCGGTGATGGCGGCCGATTTCTCCTTCATCTTACATTTTTAAGTAATAACATTCTCAAATGATCTTTCTTTCAAGGGCCATGTTACTGTCATTAAAATGATTCGAGCATTTTAAAATAATATGGTCACATAGTGTTTCATTTCCTTTCACTTCTCGGATTTTGTGAACTTTCAGCAAATTTGAGACTCAATATTAAATAACGCCAAAGACTGACTGAATCTGACTAATTTTACAAACATTGTAACATCTTTTAAAAGGGTACAGCAAGACATAATAATAATAATAATAATAAGAAGAAGAAGAAGAAGAAGAAGAAGAAGAAGAAAAAAAGATTATGAGATCTCAAAAATTCTAAATGTTTCAACACGCAAATGCAGAAAGATCAAGCAGTG